CTCTAAAAATGGGTTGCTGTTTCAGGAGACTGTATATATTTGTATATATGTTGTATAACTTGAGAGGTGAGGGTATTTAAGATTTGCTCAAGTGGCTGGGAGCCAGGCTTAAAGTCTCTTGAATTCTTTTCTTAGCTTCTTCCATGGAGTTGCTAGGGGTCTGAATAAATATATTAACTCCTGTTACAAACTATAAATGGGAATAAGATGAATTTTCTGTAGTGGGTGTGGTTTACTGACGAGCATGCTGGGTGCCAAGCAGCAGGAGCAAAGGGAATCGAGCACGTGAGTGCATCCAAATGCCCTCTCCTGTTCCACATATTCCAGTGGCACAGGACTGCAACAACCCAGGAGACGGATGGCTTCCAGGTGAAGAGGCCAGGAGACGTCAATGTGCGCTGTACTGTCCTTCTGATGCTCGATTATCAGGTAAGATGTCGGGAGCAAAATGCTGGGCTTGCAGTGTTTGCTCAGCCGTGGCTGTGGCCACGTTCCCATCTCATCGTTCTGCGCTATTTTGTTTAAGCCTCCCCAGTTCAAACTGGACCCCCGCTTGGCTCGTCTGCTGGGGATTCACACTCAGACCCGTCCGGTGATCATCCAGGCTTTGTGGCAATACATCAAGACCCACAAGCTCCAGGACCCCCATGAGCGGGAGTATGTCATCTGTGACAAATACCTCCAGCAGGTAATGGTGGCTGGGGCTGCCTCAGCGTTTCTTTGTGAGCAGCCAGGGATCCCTGGCACTGAGCTCTCCGCTGAGCCCCGTGTTTCTGGCACAGATATTTGAATCTCAGCGGATGAAGTTCTCTGAAATCCCACAAAGGCTTCACGCGCTGCTCATGCCCCCAGAACCGATCATCATCAATCACGTGATCAGGTGAGACTGCTCCACTTGGCGTTGTATTTACAGAAAGAAGAGTGGAAAGGATGGGTGAGACTTGCACAGGAAGATGATGTAATGTTCTCCTTTTTCAGTAGCAGTTCCCCTGTGTTGCCAGTCATCATTTCTTTGTCCAGGAATGGTCACCTCTTGTTTACCACAGCCCTCTTTTCCACCAGGCACTCCCATGTTCATGCCATCCTTTGCATTACAGTTGCTCCAAGCAGATTTCTGTCTACTCAGTTACTTAGCCCGTGTGCTGCAAAGCCACGTGGAGCTTTGCTGTTTGGTGTTAGAGCTGAAGCTAACAGTAGCTTGGCTTGTCCCTGCCTGCAGTCCTTATGCAGCATCACCCTAGAGTAGCCACAATTTGGTGCTTTCTTGAACTACTCACCTGTTCTGGATTCTTTTGGATGCCCCTAGTGTTGACCCAAATGACCAGAAGAAAACAGCCTGCTATGACATCGATGTGGAGGTGGATGATACCTTGAAGACTCAGATGAATTCATTCCTGCTCTCAACGGCTAGTCAACAAGAAATTGCTGCTCTGGATAACAAGGTGAGAAGAGTTCCTTCAGGTCTGCTGTCCTCAGTGCTGGGTAGGAGTGTGTGTGTGGAGCAAAGTGACCCCTGAACGTGACAGTTTGGCTTTGTGCTGTTGTGCATTTGGAAGCTGGAGACAGTTCTGCCGTGGTTTCAAATAGGTGGCTTTATCTGGAAGCACAGTTTTAAAGGAAATGGTCAGTGGGGAAATTGGTAATGTTTAGAGCAGGAAGGTGGGAGCTGAGAATCCTATCTGATAAGTGAGCCAGGGAGTATAAGAATTCACCTTCGTGTGTTGGATCTCTTGATGTTACTCTGACATTTTCCCCTATTCAGCAGTCTCGTTGCTGTGCTTATCTCCTTCAGATCCATGAAACAATAGAGACAATTAACCAGCTGAAGACCCAGCGTGAGTTCATGCTGAGTTTTGCCCGAGATCCTCAGGGCTTCATCAACGACTGGCTGCAGTCCCAGTGCCGGGACTTGAAGGTAAAAGCTTTGTCTTGTGGGGAAGGTGGATCCAGTCACACTCTTTCCTCATTATTACTAGCTCCCACTGAGAGAGAGAGAGAGGGAGAGAGGCAATTTCCTTTTCAGAAAGCAAGACGTGTATTGAAGTCAAGGATAAGAACCTGACCTGACTGTACTGACGTTTCTTTGTGGAAGGGGGGGTGTCTGTGCAGGCTTGCTCAGCACAGCCAGAGCTTTCACACTCCTTGAACTGTTTTGTCCTTTGTGCTTTCCAGACGATGACTGATGTTGTTGGGAATCCTGAAGAGGAGCGTAGAGCTGAGTTCTACTTCCAGCCGTGGGCTCAGGAAGCTGTGTGCAGATACTTCTACTCCAAGGTGAGTGTCCCCAAGCAGGTGTCTCCCTCTGTACCTGGTTTGGACCCCCCCCTTTTCCACCTGGGCCCTGTGGTACTTGTTTGCTGCGCTGCTGTGTGTTAACGCTGCAACTCTGGCTCCTCTTGCAGGTACAGCAAAGACGGCAGGAACTAGAGCAGGCCCTGGGGATCCGCAACACATAGGCCGCTCCGCTCCTCCCCAGCCAGAAGGCATCACAGCTACTTGTGGAGACAGAGCTGCAGAGTACGCTGTTATGGCTCACGTAATCCCACTCCGGCACTGAGGCCTGCACCATTATCCATCCTGGCATTGTCCCTCTTGGGGCAACTCTAGGACACCTGGGGTCTTCTGGGGAGTGGCAAGCAGATGGGCTCCAACGAGCACACACTTCTACCTGGTTTTCTTCCTGACTGTTGCCTTGTCAGTCCCAGGGCTTCTGAGAGCCTTTCCGTGACTCCGTACTGCCTGTAGTGTCCCCAGTAGCCAGTATGAATGCTGACTTGGAGCTTTTCTCAAGTTCAGAAACCACAGCCCCTTCCTCCTCAACTAGCATCTAGTTGTGGCACACGCGAGACCTGGGTCTGGGAAGCCTGGACCTGCTCTAAGGGTGGAGCTCTGTGGCTAATCTCGTCCCTGCCTCTTTTTGTAGCAAGGTACCAGGAGATGGAGCGGGCAGGACACCAGGAGTTGACATACCTCCAGCCCTCCCCTCCTTCATGCGGAGGGTGCTGCTGCACTGGGCTGCCCCACAGGTCCCTCTCCTCCTTGAGGAAGTTACTGGACTGTGTAGAGAATCGCTTCTTCCCTTCTCCCTTTTTTCCTGTCCTGCTCCCTTCATGTTCATGACAGACTGTTTTAGGCTGGGAATCACAGGGGAGATGAAGCATTGGCTTACTGCAGGGGCGTGGAAGCTCTGGAGTGCTGAGACTTCACTGCACTTCAGAGCACTTGGGGTTCCAGCAAGCCACCTGGCTGCTTCTTTTCCTTGTAGCAGGGAGAGAGGATGCAACAGCTGCCCGTGTAATTGTGCAGGGGTGGGGTGTTGTACGCTCATTCCTTCGGGACAGTTGTCATACATCACTTGCTGTGGGGACCAGAGGCTCCTTTCTGTGGACCTGAGTGTAACAGGACAGTTCTTGGGAATGGATGTAGCTCCAAGCATACGTGAGTTAGGAGATGTTTCCATGCTGAAGCTCCTGTGGTTTTTAGTCAAGTTTTAGGTTCCAGGGCTGCCATAAGGCCCAGCATGGATCAGGAATGTACACGTAGACTTTCTTTACTGTGGGGAGTAGCAGCCCCCATGCCTCGTCATGGAACGATTTACTAGTGAACTAGTGGTCAGGTGTAAGAGAACAGCTTCTCTAACCCGGATCTCAGTATTTCTGCTCGGGACTAATGCAAGTGGACTCAAAAGTTGGTCATATTCTCTCGAAACAGCTGCAAAACCACGTTACTGACAAGCCCCCCTCCTCCCCACACCCAGCTTCGGTGTGGTTGGGAAGGTTACTATGAATTTGGGAGCCTGGGTGGCCCTACTCCTTGTGTCTGTGTTACTACATGTCTGTGAGTAATAGGCTCTCGACTTCCCTTCTCCTTTACCCTCTTTGAAATGGCTCCTCTGTGGTACTGGGGTGAAGGTCTTGGTGCTGATGAAGCAGCCCACTGACTCCTCAGGGTAGTCACACATGAAGGATGCTGAGTACTGCGTAGGCAAACATAGCTGTTGCAGAATAACTGCTTTTCTTAACTGAATATTATGGGTTTTTCCATGGACCAAAATTTTTTTTGTACTGTATCCTTGTAGATGTCACCCAGTTTTAATAAAAGCCTCCTGTGAAGGAAGCTGTCCTCCCTCCTTCTGTGCTGACAGCACGCTTCTCTCAGCAGCTGCCTCGGTGGATGATACCTCGTGTATTTGCCTGGGAAGGGACGGGATTATTTTCACTTTATTTTTTTAACTGGTTTAAGAAACTGCAGAGAAAACGTTCGTCACGTTTTGGCCTGTTAATACAGTGCCTTTTCAGGTAAGGATCTGTGGCTTGCAGCGCCCACTAAGCCTGTGCAGAGTGCTTTTGTGGGAAATGAGCAAAGTAACTTGAGCAAATCTGGAAATCCAGTGGCCAAGGTGCTGATAAAATCTAGACAGCCCAGTATTCACCCTGCTGCCTTGCAGAGCGGTGACAGCCTGTCGCAAGCCCCACGGGATTCAGGAATGATTGTGAGGGAACTGTATTAAAGGTTCCAGAGATGGGTTTAAAGGCATGCAAATGGGGCTTTACTCTTTGCACCCTGCCTTGTTTATCGGAGTAGAAACGTAATGCTTTACAGAACACTTGTAAAGCCTTGCTGCAGGAGAAAGAGATCCTCTGTGTCTAGAAGAAAGGGCGCTTTGCGTAAGGTCAAGCAGTTGGTGCTGCTGCTGCTTAACGCCGAGATTAAGGCTGGCGTTGCCTCCTGGCTCTGCAATCAGATGGTTCACGTTTCCTACTCGGGGACGAGCCTTCTTTGGGGGAAAAGCAAACGATTTTATGCAGAAAACGGGGGGAGGGAAGCAGCTGGGCAGTCACCATTCCCTGCTGTGCTGAGCTCGGCGCTCTGAGCACCTTCACCTTTGCTTTGGGGCAGCGATCTGCAGCTGCAGCACTGCTCGGCGTTGGGTTGCGAGCACCGGCTGCGGCTGGGACAGGGACCTGGGCGGCCCCCGGGGGCCACGGGTGCCCGGTTTGCCCCGGGGCGGAGCGGGAGGCGGGCTGGGGCCGCCCCTGCTCGGGGGCAGCCTTCAAATAGCGGCGTTGGGCTCAGCACAGCGCAGCGCTCCGGCTCTTTGCACCATGGGCGGCAAGAAAGTGTGCATCGTGGGCTCGGGCAACTGGTGAGCACCCGGTGTTCGGACACTCCGCGTCCCCTCCCGGAGCGTGGCACGGTTCCCACTCTCCCCGGGACACCGGGACCCCCGTGTGAGTGCCGTGGGGTGCCCCGGGCTCCCCTCGGTGCTGGCAGCCTCGGTGCCTACGGCTCCAGTTTTGCCCGTGCAGGGGCTCGGCCATCGCCAAGATCGCGGGCAGCAACGCGGCGCGGCTGAGCACCTTCGAGAACCTGGTGAGCATGTGGGTGCTGGAGGAGGAGGTGGGCGGCCGGCGGCTCACCGAAATCATCAACACGGAGCACGAGAACGTCAAGTACCTGCCGGGACACAAGCTGCCCCCCAACGTGGTGAGTGTGGCTGAGCACGAGATCCGCTGCCGGCAGCCGGGCTCCCTGGTGAAAGGCAATAAAAAGCCGTGCCGGGAGCTGCTGTGGCCCCGCGGACTGCAAAGGGGATGCACGGGGCTCGCTTAAACGTTCCCAGTGACCTTGCAGCTCGCTTGGATGAGCCGCAGCCCTGGCCACCCTCGCTGCCCACCTTTGCCCCTGCTCTGGCATCCCACAGGCTGGGCTTGAGGCCATGCGACTGCCTCTGAGCTGGCATCGGCGGCGCGCAGCGAGCCCGTACGCTCAGCCTTTTGTGCTGCCAGGCTCCAGCCCCTCTGCCCAGGGAAACCCCACACAGTTGCCCTCCAGCCCCTGCTCCCCTCGTTGGGGATCAGGGCTGGGCTCCTGGCCACGAAAAATGGGGTGTGAGTGCTGACGGTCCCACCCTGCAGGTGGCAGAGCCAGACCTGCTGAAAGCCTGCGCCGGGGCCGACGTCCTCCTGTTCGTGGTGCCCCACCAGTTCATCGGCAAGGTGTGTGAGCAGCTCAAGGGCCACGTGAAGAAAGATGCTATCGGGATGTCGCTCATCAAGGTGTGAGCAGGAGGAGCGCTGCCCTGGCGGCTGGGGGGTCATAATTTCTGCGGGGCTGCAAAGGGGAGCCAGGGGGGTTGGAGCAGAAAGCGGGCTCCAGGGTTTTAGTGGTGTACAAGAGGGTTTGGGAAGCCTTTGTGGGGGTTTGGAGGTGTGTTCGTGGAGTAGAAAAGGGTGTGAGGGCATGCAGGGGGTGTGAAGTGCTGTGAGTGGGGTGCAGCTGAGCTTTGGGGGGGCTGCTGGGGTGACAGCATCGCAGGATGGGGAGTGACGGGGTTGGGACAGCAGGGGCCAGGTCCTGGAGGGGACGGGTGCTCATCTCCGCGCCTGGTTGTCTCCCAGGGGGTGGACGAAGGACCAGATGGGCTGAGGCTGATCTCAGACATTATCCACGAGAAGCTGGGAATCGAGATGAGCGTCCTCATGGGGGCCAACATCGCTAACGAAGTGGCAGAAGAGAAGTTCTGCGAAACAACCATCGGTAAGGAGCCGACGTCCCTCCTCGTTAGCAGCCCTCGTTTCTGACGAGCAGGAGGACGTAACGAGGGGAGCGTGGTGCTGCCTAGAGAGAGCCGTCCCTTTTTGCCTGTGAAGGCAGCGAGGCTCCGTAGGAGCTGGATGAACTCATCCACAGGGTTTGCAGTGTGAGCGCTCACTTCATTAAAAGCAGAGTTGTGTGTCTGAAAGCTGCCAGCATCGACTGGGAGCATCTGGCAGGCAGCCTGGTCCAAGTGGAAGGGATGGACACTGAGAGACCCTTTAGGAAATAGAGTTCACCTACCTTTATCTCACGGGGCTTCAAGGGACAGTCACCTGGATCTCATGTCCTTGCTAGCCAGGGCTACTTGGGAGTTCATCTGGCAGCAGCTCCTGACATCCTCCGCGCTGTTTGTGAATCATGCACAGCAGCCAAAACCAACAGAACAGTTCTCTGGGTTAGAAGTTACAAGATTCAAAGTGTCCGTGCTTTAAACAAAAGCAAACAAGCCGTGCAGAAGGCTGCAGAGACCGGAGACGTGGAAGCAGAGCTTGCTGTTGCTGCAAGCACAGCAACGCTCCCATGCAGGGCCCTGCAGGAACAGAGAGAAGCAGCAGCCTCCGAACACAAATTTGCAGTTTCTGAAGACGCTTTTAATCTACTGGGCATGCCACTTCTGTCTTGCTCAACGCAATGGCAGGCATGGGAATCCCAAGGTTGAACCTTGGTTATCCGCCAGGCACTGTACGGTGGCGCTTTGTGGTCCCACAAATGTTTAGCAACGTCCAGCAGTTGAGCAAGAGATTCCTCTCCCTGCACGGGCCGCAAGGGCTACGCTGCAGGAACATACCAGGAGAAGAGAGCAGCCCTCCTCTGGGGTCTCCTTCACGTCTCCCTCTCTCCTCACGCTTCTCCTTTTGCCTCATCAGGGTGCAAGAACGCGCAGTACGGGCAGATCCTGAAGGAGCTGATGCAGACACCGAATTTCCGCGTCACGGTGGTGCAGGAGGCTGACACCGTAGAGATCTGTGGGGCCCTGAAGGTGGGTGAGCTGCTGGCTGAGGTCTGCAGCTCTCTGTTAGCAGAGCCTGAGCTCTGCGGGGAGCTCTGGGGAGGAGGCTGCCACTTGGATGAACTCCTCGGGATATTGCACCCTGGCTCGCCGAGACGCTTGGGCAAAAGGCCAGGTTTTGGAGGCAGCTGTGTGTGTCCTGTTCGGCTCCTCGGAGGGATTGATGGCTGCTAGACAGGCAGGGGCAGGCAGCAGCCTGCTCTGGGGATCACACGGGCAGCTCGTGGATGTGGCAAAGCCCTGGGCTCTAGCGGGAACAGATCGCTCCGTGCTATTGTCTTGCAGAACATCGTGGCTGTAGCGGCTGGTTTCTGTGATGGGCTCGGCTTCGGGGACAACACGAAGGCTGCGGTTATCCGGCTGGGACTGATGGAGATGATCGGCTTCGCCAAACTCTTCTGCAAGGGCCCCGTCACCCCCTCCACCTTCCTGGAGAGCTGCGGGGTGGCTGATCTCATCACTACCTGCTACGGCGGTCGCAACCGCAAGGTGGCTGAGGCTTTTGCCAAGACTGGGAAGGTGAGCAGAGCAGGGAGCAGGCAACGAGGGGGACCTTAATACCTGCATCAATCTGCTGAGATGGCAGCAGCAGGGAGCCAGCTAGTCTTGTGGCATTCTTCACCTGTCCAGCACCACAGTCTGGCTCCAGGGAAGGAGCTGTGGGGCAGTGGATGGCATCGCAGGCTCCAGCTCCCCTCTCTGTTGGGTTGTTTCAGTCTATTGAGCAGCTGGAGAAGGAGATGTTGAACGGGCAGAAGCTGCAGGGTCCCCAGACGTCTGCCGAGCTGCATCGCATCCTCAAAAGCAAGAACATGGTGGAGAAGTGAGTGCTCTCATCCCCCTTGTCTGCTTTTTTTTGTTGTTGTTTTTGAGGCTGGGCTGGGATCTTCCCCGCAGATGTGGGAAGGGAAATTCACCCTCAGTGTCCCTGCAGCTTAGGCAAAGCTTTGCAGTGCCCGCATCCAGCAGTCCTGCGTGGCACAACAGAAGTGGAGGTGCTCTGGCAATGCAGCAAGGGCTGATTTTGTCCATCTTGCCCGTAGGTTCCCCCTCTTCACAGCTGTATATCAGATCTGCTACGAGGGCAAACCCGTTACTGATGTCATCAAGTGTCTCCAGAACCACCCCGAGCACATGTAAGTGGGCTCTGCCTGCAAAAGCACCGATCCTGCTGAGACGAGCAGAGAGCTCCTGCCCGCACCAACTTGCTGCTGCCACAACTTTGCGAGGAGTCCAGATTTCCTGGGAGCCTTTGCAGAGCGCTGGAAGGGCAGATGTTCCCCTTCTCAGCCCTGGAGACTGCCAGCCTGAGCCTGGCATCTGCACGGAGGTACCTGCTGATCCCCCCTCTCTCTTCGAAGGGCTCGTTTAGCTTCTGCTTCTGTCTAGGGTCTGCCCTGAGCGGGGCTGAGCGTCTTCCTCCTTTCACTTTCTTTCGCTGCGATGGATTCCGTTCTCAGAGGGACTCTGCTAAGTCGTCTTGATCAATACGGGCTATGCAGGAGGCACTGCCTTGGAGGGCAAGCTTTGCTATTAGCCCCATGGGGCCACTTCGCATGACACCAGCTCTTTCCTGCTTGCTGCTGTTGCTTTGGGCTTTGCCGCCTCGCAGAGGGGGCACGGTTCCCTGCCAGGCTCCACCAGAGACTGAAGCTCCTGAGGACTTTCAAAGGGGCTGACAAGCACTCTTCTTTCTAAGAAGCACCAACAGAGAAAATAGCTCTTTGCCACCCTGCCATGTGCTGCTTCCCCAGCCACCACCAGCTGCTCCTGCTGAACGGGACGGCCGAGGCTCTGTGCGTGTGAGGACGGCTCCGGAGGGAGCCCTCAGAGCTCAGTTATCCAGCTTTTTGCTCTCACACCCAAGCCTGGCCACTGACCCCTTTTGTCACCAATTTGTCTGTGCTAATTCCATGCCCTCTGCCTGTCCCTGGGCAGCCCTCCTCCCTCGCCTTGGTTCGTCCTCTGGCTGGCTTTGGCAACGCAGGGACCAACTGCCCCAAAGTTTTTCTGAGCAGCTGGCAGGCAGCACAGCCCTTGGCAGTGTACCTGCCGAAGCAGTTGGGCCATGGTGCTTTTAGATGAGTGACCCGCAGCAGCTTTTGCCTTCACTCTTGCTCTGCTCTGTGCCGTAGGCTGGGCTTTGCTTCTTCCCGTGGCTTTATAGGAGCTGAGAAAAGCAGGTTCCACGCTTTCCCTGCCGCCCCTCGTGGGAGGGTGCTGGAAATTGCCCGCTAGCGCAAGGGGCAGCACAGGACGTGATCCACAGAGGTACAGGCAGACCTCCAGCATCACAAGAGAGGACAGAGGTCTCGTGCCTCATGCTGTGCCTTTGAAACTTGCCCCTTGTCCAGCTGGCTGCCACGTGCCTCTCTGGGCCTCTGAAGCTGGTTCACTCTGCTCGTGTTTGCTCAGGGCCGCGTGGCCGGCGGTTCACTGATCCCTGTCAGGGCTGGCAGGCTGCTGGAGCTGCTGCAGATCTCGCCCCCGTTCCGGGTCCTAGTGCCATTGGGTCTCTGACTAGCAGTGTACTTTATGAATGTTTAAAATCATAATAAATTTGGAGAGGGAAGGGGCGGCGCACGCTTTTCTCTGCGGTTCCCGTGCATCGTTCTCTTTGGGTTGGTGCCCGCTGGTCTCACTAAGAGTGCAGGAGAGGGCACTGGCTGTTCCCTCCTGGCTCTGCACCCTTGTGTGCTGTTCCAGAAATGAGTAAGAGTGCCCCTGCAGGACAATGTTGGCTCAGAACATAACGCGGTGTCCCACTTGCGTTTTCTCAGCAGCAGTTCCTGTGTTCAAGTCTGGCTGTAGGACTGGGGAGGGCAGAAACTGCAGCGCTGAGATGGGTCTAGGATCCTAACCTGGGGCTGGCAGAAATCATGCCAGGGTCCCACTGTGTCACCTGTACCCCAGACTTTGATGTCTTAGCTTCTTGGGACGGTCTGTGCTGTTTTATTCATCTCTCTCCAGCTTCTTTTCCCTGCTGGACTTGCCTCATCCCTGCTTTTCTTTGAAACACATCTCGTACTGAGTGACCTTTCCAGGACTGTTAGTTCTCCGCTCGCCCTCTTGCTAGGGGAATTTAATCTGCTGGCAGTGCAGTTGTTTCTGTGCCTTTTATTAGACACGCATTCTCGGTAGCACCCTACGACCTTTAAATTCAACTGAGCGATCGTTCAGAAAGTAGCCAACATCGGCTTCCTCTGAGAAACTTCAATGAGCTTGGAGGAAAAATAAAGGAAGTCCGGTGTCTTCTTGCAGGGTTGGCACAACTTCTAGTTCCCTTTGTCTTGATGGGCTTCAGGAATCCCAGCTCAAGTGTTTGGATACGAGGCTCATACAGGGGAGAGAGCGTCCAAGCTCTCCTCCCTAGACACATCGCAGGCTCTCACCTCAGCATGTAAAGCTCTTGCCAGCACCTGCCTGGAGCTGCAGCAGGATCAGGAGCTGTGTTTTGGACTTAAATTTAGCTGTTAGCTCATCAGCTGCAGAAGTACATCGCTCCAAGCGCGGCTTTCTTTGCCACTACACACAGCTGGCAGTGCCTGAGCTCCTCCAGGCCTTGTCAGCATTTGCTGAGGGTCGTGAGTCTCACCTGGGGGTGGCCAGCGCATGCATCCCTCGCTTTCAGACAGCCCGTGCCTTGCACTAGCGTTGGAGTTCATGAGCTATAAAAAGTCTTCCCTTTAACATTTGGAGTTATGTTCTGCAGCCTCAGCACATCCAGGCACTGCAGGGTCTGCACAGCTCAGGGCTCTGCACAGCTCAGGCTGCTGCAGCCTGGGCAAGAAGACGCAGGCGAGGGGGTGGCCCCATTTCTTGCACTCTGAGCACCTCAAAGAGCCCACAGCCTGGGGCTGTGCTGTGCCTGTGGGGTCAGAGAATCCCAAAATCATTAGGGTTGGGAAAGCCCTCCAAGATCATCCGGTCCAACCATCCCCTACCACCACTGCCACCCACTGAACCATGTCCCCAAGCACCACATCCAACCTGTCCTTAAACACCCCCAGGGACGGTGACACCTCCCTGGGTGACCCATTCCAATGCCTGACAGCTATTTCTTGACAAGAAATGTCTCCTCATTCCCAACCTCAACTACAAGCAAGGAGCTCAGGGCTTGGGGGGAGAGCACCGCGCTGTGCCACCAGCAGCCGCGGCGCTTTTTGGAGGCACACAAGCTCTCCAAATTGTGAGCTGTGAGCACAGCCTGGGCCCTGAGGGAGGGTGAAGAAGTCAGTGACCACCTCAGGCACGGAGCGGGGACCGGGGGTGTCCCGAGCACCTCAGGGCTGGAGCAAGGCGCCCGTGTGAGGGGCTGGCCCCTCAGCCTCACACAGTGCTGAGGAGACCCTGAGGGAGCTGTGCAGAGAGACATGGGGCAGGGGACAGAGCCTGAAGGACAGCGCCTGGGGGATGGCGGGCTCCTGAGGCGAAGGAGCAGCCACACAGCAGATGGCGCCACAGCCTCTCCCCCCCCCCCCAATAAAGACTACAACTCCCAGCAGGCAGCGCGGCCCCGCCTTCCCCACGGGGCACTACCGGGAAGCGCGGCCCTGAGGTGACGGCGGAGCCTTGGGAGCGCCGGTAGGGACCGGGACCGGGACCGGGACCGGGAGAGGCGGGGAGGGGGAGGGCCGCTTGCTGACCACCGCCTTGTGTTACAGGCATGGTGTCGGGCAAGCAGCTGGCTGATTTCGGCTACAAGGCGTTCTCCGGCTCCATGATGCTGCTGACGGTGTACGGCGGGTACCTGTGCGGCGTCCGCGCCTACCGCCTGCTGCAGCGCCGCCGGGAAAGGGAGGCGGCGGCGGCGGCGAGGCCCGAGAGCTGAGGGGGGGCTTGGACCGTGGATTTTCCCTCCCCCCCCCCACTAAGATTCCCACATAAAAAGCGCAATAAAAGCCCCCGGAGAAGCCCCCGAGCTCGGTGTCGTGTCCTCATCCCGCCCCGGGGCTGGGGGTGCATCAGGTTTGGGGTTTTCTGAAGGACTTTTTGGGTTTATTTAAGGCGAGGCGCGGTTCTGAAGCGTTTTTTTCTTTTTTTTTAATCGGAGATAAGAGTAAACAATGGTATAAAACGGTAACAACTCAAGGAGTTTCCCACATTCTGCTCCTGCTCGGCGCGCAGGGCTGCCCGCTGCCCCCAAGTACCATCAAGTAAAAAAGAAGAAGCGAAGCCCACGGCCTGGCCACCTCGCCGGCCCAGTGATTTCCTCCACAGAATTGCAAAAAATCAGAGCAGCAACATTCACTTCTGGCTAGAAGTACAGGCAAGCAGGACTGGAAAGAGTTTGGGGAAAGCTACGAGCAGCCCCCCAGCCCTGGGCCACCCTCAGGTCCTAGCTTAGCTGACTCGAGCCAGTACATCTAGAAAAGTCTTCAAAACCATGTCTTGAAACAGAAAAAAAAATGAAAAATTAAGGCATGTATTGTGAGAGTTGACTTAGGGGCAGTAAGCAAACCCCCTCCCCCTTTTTGGAAGGCTGTAGGTAGGACTTCAGAGGGGCTTGCAGCACCAAAAGAGGCAGCAAATGCTGGCCTGGTCCCTCGTGACAGCAGAGATAACAAGCAAAAACCTCCTCCTCAGCCTACAGCACCCCACCACCGAGTCACAACAACGGTTTTGTTGTAGCACAATCCAATTCAAAGCGTGGCTGTAATCCAGAGCGCTTGCAGTAGGGCTGAGAAAAGTCTTTGCTACAGCCCGGGTAGCTCAGAGGTGGACCAGAAACCCACCCCTCACGCCGTGCTCTGAGCAGCTTCTGGAGTGCATCGAGGAGCCGCAGGGAACAGTCACCGAGATGGCACCCGGCCCCTCCTGGGGGCAGCAGCCAGCCTCATCCAAACTCGTTTCCGCCTTGAGTTGATCCTAGTAAAAACCAGTTTGTCACATACAAACACACCTCTGCAAATACCAATGGGACTAAGATGGGGTACAACATGGCTTAAAATGGAATCTGTGGCTTTGGTTTTGCCCTAGTAATCGGCTTTCTCCCTTCTGTCGTGCAAAGCCTTTGCCTGGTCTGGATTGTGCCCATTTCAGATTTGCTGGAGGTTTTCTGGGGAAGGGGTATCTTGATTAAAGATCACTTGGGAATGTGGAGCTCAACACATCTAGATATTTAAAGACAAGTTCGTGTTTGCTCAAGGCCGACCCACAGCCTTACTCCTCTTCTGTCCACTGGCCACTCGCCACATGGCCGTTAACACGGTTGGAACCATTGCTCGAAGTGCTGAAAACTCCTTTTGTGCTGTTGGAAGTCACATCCTCCTCTTCAGAGCTGCTCTCTACATCACTGCGGTCATCTTTTGATACCTAAACAGTTCAAAAGAGATTGGGTAGTGGGAAGGGGAGGAGGGAAGTTGATAAATTCACAGGAAACAGCAGTAAAAAGGTTGCATTCATGTGATTAACCAGCCTCGGTCACTTACAATTACCTTCTATATTCCATCCATAGTAAATTCAAACTTACTAGGAAGAGCCTGTCTTCATGTACAGAAAGCAAGAAAGATGTTGAAAAGGGCAGCTGGAAGCTATGAGGTCCATTTTTCAAATACCCTGTCCATCTGTGGAAGCACTACACATTTGCACTCTCACTAGATCAGAGGATGCTGTAGATCTCTGCCTGCTTTTGTCTTTGAAGAGCCTCATTTTAGATTGGTTAAAGGCTGCTTTTCCAAACAACAAATGTGTTTTAAATTGAAAAAAAAAAAAATCTCACACCTTTATAATCAGCAGGTATGATGACAAAATATGTGTATATCACCTCTAGAGAGCACACTCTAGGGAGTGCCTTTGATATTTTACAAATTAACCAGCTATATTTATCACATCACTGTTTGCACAAAGCGCCTCCCATTTTCACAGCTTGTGGTTCACACACGAGATCCCATTTACGAGCAAAAGTGTGTTTGGACAGCAGGCTGCAGAAAAGAAACAACTACCTAATCCAGCAAAAACCAGTTCAGGTACAGAAGGAGCATCTCAGCCACGGGAATCTAGATCTGATCTACAGAGTTATGGTTTTAGTTAACAGATGGGCTGCAAAGCCAGCTGAATTCCATTCATACGTGGGATTTTGAACCTTTGGAAACCCCTCCAGGCAGAGTTCTGGCCAGGGGTCGGCACATGCCGCTGTTAGCTGCCCTCAGAGCACCACAGGAGGGCAGTGTACCAACACCGCAGAGCCAAGTGCACCAGAAGGTGAAGGGAAGGGATCACAAGCCCGGCCCTAACTGCAAATAAGCACCTTGGTCGCTGGCTGGGCGCCAGAGCCATAAACGCACCGGTGCCGAGCTGTGGCTGCGTGAATGGCACATGCTTTACATACCCCAAGGCGGGCTCTCCACACTTCTGGCTGCAACTAATAGCCCTCATTTGCTTCAGATGCAAGCACTTTGTGGCTAGCATGTTTCCAGGCACTTCGGGACTTGATCCTACTCTGCTTGCTCTGAGTCAGGCTTATGGCTTTCAACCAGTACCAGCCAGGAAGTTTTTCAGCTCCAAGGAAGATGTGGCAGAAAGCCAGGTCAAGTTAATGATCTCCAGGATTGGTTCTGACAGGCCTGTTGGACACACTGGCTTCTGTGTGTTGCCAAAACTTTTGGTATCCTTCTCTGCTCTCCTATATTGGAAGTTCAAAGGGTGACAGGAAGGAAGCAGGAATCCCTCAGTATTTCTCCCCATTATCCTGGGGGGCTAGTGACTGTTGTCATCCTTTTCACCAAAAAAGAACTGCTTCTCTGCTGCCCTCTTTCACCCAGCAGATTGTTAACAAGCACTAAAGAGAGACATCGGAGTCTCTGTGGGACTGTGAAAGCAGAAAGGTCAAGGTCATGCAGCCATCTGAAAGCAGAAGAACAAACCACCACAGGACACTGCTTAGACCTCTGAGACCTTTGGAAAAAACCTGCATTTTGGCATACTGTCAAAGCCAGCACTGTACAAAACTGGGAGACAAACATTTTTTAAGAGAAGGCACTACCCATCTGAAACCCCAAGACCATAACTTTGCGTTCATCTCAGCCTAGAAACAGACACAGATGTGTTTCAGTGTAGAAACAGAAGTACAGATCACACTTACATGCAAAGGATGAAACTGTCCAGCTCCAATCTGGCACAGAGGAAAAGGAGTGAGAAAAGAATGAAGAAGACAAAGCTTAGAGTCCTTTCTCTGGCTAGGTCACCTGGACAGGAGAGAAGCAAGGAAAGGAAAAAAGGTGTAGACCTCAGCTGTAGGAACAGCTGCACAGACAGAAAACAAGCCTTGCAGTAGCAGCTGCGGCAAACAGATGAAAAAAAAAAAATCACATGCATGCTCTAAAACATGTCTTCCTCTGGTGATGAGCACCACAAACAGCTACGATATATTCTTCAAGGTCATGTGCCATGTGTAAGGGCAACTAAGAAGTCAAACAAAATAAAGCAGAGCTATGAGAGAAACTCAGGTACACGATAAAAAAGGTATTTTGTGCTAGTAAATCAGTTATTGCACTCTGGTAGATGGAAGGAAGCAGCTTCTCCTGATGGGTTGGCCAAGTGCCAAATTAGTTCCCAGACTGGCTTTCCCTGTCTCGTGCCTCTTCAGCTGAAGTGCACCTTTGGCAACTGAAGTGCACCTTGGCAACTTAGGCTGCAGCCAAAAGTCAGCATTGTTTGCTCTCAGGGTACCATCTGCTGCTAGCAAGTTGCTGTAGTTTCACCCTCATTCTCCCTAAGATCCCAACACAATTAAAAATTCGCTTACAACTGAAGCTAGTAACCCCAGTAACAGCCACCATACTCCCCAGAATTTCTGGTAACCCTTTCTCCTCTGCATGCTGCAGCTCAATGCCTGGCCGTGCACTGGCAGCCAGAAGCCTTTGTCCTTGCTAACAAGTAGGAGATGCACAATCCTCATCGCAACCCAAAATGAGCTTTCTAATGCTTTGAACTCTAAATAAAGCACTTGACAGATCTGTCATCGCCATCATTATTACAACATCTCAGTGTTCTGGGTAATGGCATTATTTCCCTGTATGACCAGAGCAGAGAGGAAAGCATCCTTGCCTTTTTATCTACCTGGCCCCTCAAGTTTGCAGAGCAACCAGGGTGAAAAAACAAATCAAAGTGCTCTTCTACAAAACATTTCTGATGCAATTACACTGAGAACTAGCACCAGCCCTCACTGAAGGGCTTGGTTTCTCAGGGTTCTTTCATAAAGCTTACAGAAAGAGGACCCAAAACAGTCACCACCAGACTTACCTTGCCCCGCATGAGGGCCTTGTAGGCGGTGCGAATGATGAGATAGGACCAGATGATATGCAAGACCTGCAAGGTTACCAAAAGGCCATTGAAGAGCCACCATGAAGGATAGGGGCCAATCAACTCCCAGCTTTCAAAGAGGGTTGTGTTCAAAATCCTAGAAGAGATCCAGAAACACATTACAGATCAGTTGTGCTGGTAACATGGCTTCCAGCTCTAAATTAAGATGAGTGGCCAGCTGCACAACAGTTTGTATCATTTAAGCATCTGTTGCTTTGCTCCTGTCAGAGCAGCAATGCATCTAGTCTCCTGCCAGAGTTAGGAGACAGACTAAAGCTAATTAGAAACATTTGAACTGAGCAACAAACAGGAGAAGATGCGAACGTTCTGCAGTTTGGTTACACACACAGATCTGCTGCCAATTTCCTTCTCAACAGCATGAGCGTTTGTAATAACTTTACAGGAAGTGATGTCAAGCTGCTCCGGCCATCAAAACAAGCGTTAACACATTCCTGCTCGGGCCGTCTTTGCCCATATTTAAAGATCACAGAAGAATTTAGTTCCCAGTAGGTCTGCCTCCCCGTGTGCTATTCCCTTCTCTCTTATTTTTTATAGGTTTCTCCTGCCAAGCTGGAGGACTCGAAACTAGTTCACGGACAAAGCATTGTGCTTCCTTTCATTGCTGCTTTGCTGTTCTCATTGCTGGGAGTTACTGCCAGTACTTCAGTAATTTAATAAACATTTTAGACTTTGTGAAGTAGAGACGTGTGGAGAGACCTTTAAAAATGCCATTAGTTTCACGTAGCTTTGAACACTTCGCAGGAAAAGAAAAACAAGCCTTTCAAAGAAGAACCCGAGCTCCCCCCGAAAACAGAGTCACAGAAACATCTAACTCCTAGCTGGCTTATCGATGACTTACATGCAACTCCAGAGGTCTGTTGATGTTTTACACTACTAATTAGGGAAGGGAATATATATGAAGTGAAGCAGCCTAAGGTTTGCAATACCCACTGCGAGCTTGCCAGATTTCTGCACGAAGTTGTGGAATTACATTACAGCCAGTGGAAAATACATTAAAGATTTACAGGACTGCTGAGCAATAGCATGATGCAAGAGCATCACCTTGTGACAGACAACAGCAAGAAAAACAACAACAACTACCTCATCTGTCACTGGAAGGAGACTGTGGAAACAAAGGGATTAAAGGCCCTTCCTTATGCAGATTTCTTTGATGCGTTTTCTGGGAAACAAGCAGGAGCTTTAATTGCAACCCTGATACCAAAACATAAATGAAGGATTGTTTCTGTCTACCACTAATGTACACCAAAAGAATAGCCATGCAGGCTGTCCATCGCTCAGGAAAGAAATGTATGCAGTAAAATCAAAATAAATTAAATAATAATCAACTATAACCACATTTTCAGCACACTCTTTCTACAGAAACAAGCGGCTAACACCAGAACTACCTCACCAAGCCTGCTGGGGCAAGAAGGAATCTCATTATACGATGATTAGCTATAAGCCATTTAGCCAGGGTTTTACCTCTCCAGAAACCTCAGACCTATTTTAGGCTCTACAGAGTCACGACTCAAGGGTAGGACAAAAGTGCCATAAGAAATCAAAAGCAGCAATGATGACTAAGCCAGATACTCAGAAATTAATTTTACTTCAAGAGACCATGCCTCAACTGTAACTATTTCCAAAACTTCTCAAGTCAAGAGAAGCAAACAACCCTCTGAGTCGTTCAGATACCAGCTGACTCTGCTCCAGCTAATGAGCATTGTCATCACTTTGCAGTAAGAGGAGAGGGGCCAGCTGTGCGTTAAGATTCTAGCCGCTTTTCACACTCTCTCAACTGACTGTTGAGAGGTTTCTTCATATTTTTGATTGAAAGTACTGCTCCAAATGATACTTAGGTTGTCTGCAACTTCAGGCTGCCTTGAGGGGACAGGCTGTACTGCTTGCAAGAAGTCTAGGTACAAAGGCTTTGCTTAAGGGCTTGGAAGAACAAACAAGACCTTACACCTCAAGGTGCTTACCAAAAAGGATAAATGCCCAACCGTGTAACAATGAATACGACACCAAAGAGCATGAAGAAGGCATCACACAGACGCTGGTACTTGGCATAATTGGCTAGCTTTGCAGCCTAAAAAAGGAAAGAAACATGAGAGTGTTATTCCCTTCATGCAATCATGCAATTACCAGGCTGTAGAGCTCCAAAACCCTCAAGCCATCATATTTGTAAGGACTTAGGAATATTTAGGGATTATTCTCAGCAGTTATGAGGAAAAGCTGACAAGGCAGGATCAGCAACACAGGTTTTACGGCATATTTAATGCTGTTTTAGCAAGAACAGGAAAGTCAGCTTGCTCCCCTGAGACCACGCTAGCGTTAGGTAAAGATCTGAAAGGAAACTCACCTCTAAGAGGAAATCGGATGCATCATGGAGACACAGCACCAGCGTTCCAACCCGCACCATATTATTCATGTAAGAGAATGTAATGAGTCCAATTGTAGCCAAGTGATGGACGAACATGATCAGGAAGTCCTGGAAACAGAAAAAAGAATTCAGAGCCTTTGGCTGTCAAACGAATGCAGATGTTTAGAGCAGAGCCACCAAACTGACTAGCTGGGGTCAGAGGATTACTTCAGTTCAGTTCAGACTTGACTCCACTTCACGTAAAGCCCAGCTCATCACACAACATCCGTCATGATCGCTGGAGGTTCCAGAAAGGTCTCTCCCAGCACCTGTGCTTCTGTAAGGTTGTAATTCTGCACACAGAAGTACAGCAGTCTTTGGCACATACTCGCAAGATCAAGATACGTATGGCTGCAGAATCCTCTCAAAAGATTGATAGGACAACATATGGTCCTTATTTTTGGCTCCTTTTGGTTTTGCAGTCATATTGCCAGTCCTTTCAGCTCTTGGCACAAACTGTAAGCACGCTGCTGTTACTGTTGTCAGCATGTAAAAACCTGCCAGAGCATAGCAGGCATAGAACACAAGATAATCCAACAGCAAGAGCTAGGCCACTCCAGTAAAAAAGTTTTCACAATGCACGTACATTACATTCAAGGCTGTGTTCCAGTTCAGTCCCCTGGGTACAACACTAACACACCACCTCAGTGTACCTTACCATGAGGAATGTAATACACAGAGCACAAAACTAAATATCACAAACAGATTATATCAGAGATGCTGTTAATCACACTCTTTCTGCATCTACTCTATATTTTGGAGCTAATATTCCAGTACAGGGAAGAAAGAAAAAAAAAAACGACTTATTTTTGAACAGTTAATACAAGAATTGGGATAGTTTGTTACTTTGCAGTTTGTATAACAGAAGCAATAAACTCTGATTTATTTTGAACTGTTTTCCAACAGCAACAATAAGCCAAATCCTAGAACGCAATACAACGGAATTAGATTCCAGCAATCATGACCAGTCATCATTCTGCTACAGACACAGAAGAAAAATTACTTTCAAAAAAAGAATGCATTATTGCTTTAGTGTTTGCCATTTTCTCATCCTGCTCAGCAAGGTAATGCTTTGAGCATTTTATTTTCCTGCTTTCTTGCAAGCCTTATAATTAAATCTTTTTTTTTTCCCCCCTCTCTCAATGATTTGCTGACTGTTTATTAGGAGGTATTGACTGATTCTGTTCTTTCCCCTGGAAGGTGAAAGGGACTCTCGAGGCTACACCAGGTTGCATAGCAGGCTTGCTCCTCCCTTTCCCCCAGGACTGGGTAGCAATTACAGAAGGAGGTAGGCTACACAGAGATGTGAACGAGGAAGAAAATTCAGTTATTACTATGCTTCAGCTCTACGGGCCAAGCACACTCATAATTTTTGTTAGTCTTGTCTATTTAGCAAAGTGGTTAGTGCAATTCTGGTTAATCTCACCTTCCGTTTAATGTCTGTAAACTGAGAAAACATGAGAGACCAATAGAAGGCCAGCTCCAAGATATAGTAATAATAAAGCCTGGATGTTAGAGGCTGGAAAACAAACAAACATAGCACAGTTAGAAGACAAAATACTTCAAAATTTACATTAACATCCACTTTTTCCTTCCTTCCCATCCCACTCTGTTCCTTCAGAATGCTGAGGCGTAAGTTAAGAGATCCAGAATTAAGGTTTAGTAAAAACGAGCTGAAGCAACAGCCATCTTCCTCTAGGCTTATTCACACAAGCAAACGTTTGTGTTTGACAGCAGAATCTTACTCTTTTTGAATAAAGTTCAATGTTTACAAATCATACTGCAGCCTCTTGGATTAGGAAAGCCAGGCACTGAACCAAACTGGTTGGCCTCTATACAATCATACTTGCTGCATAATTAAAATAACACTGTAAATAAGTTACTTTTAATAACCTCAGCAGCAAGTAAACACAAAATGAGTATGAACTGAGTCTGTTCCATCTGAGGAAACGCTGCTCTTAACAAACCTAACCAGGATCTGAAAGGCAAATGCCATCTTTGTACCTACAGAAAGGGATGGCCACTCACTAACTAGAAAGCTTACCAGGTTGCAGCCTGTGCAGCATGCACAGAATGAGAAGCAGCCAAATCTAACGAGTTTCAATCTGCTGTCATTAACAAAAATACGAACTGAAATTGTGAAGATCTGGATCCAGTAAGTGTGTACGTCCTACCTGAAAAGGATAGTTGTACCAGCACTGTCGTGTGTCCCAGAACCAGGGTGCCTTAAAGGAAAAAGACAAGTTCTTAGTCTGCATTGTTTTGTTGTTGTTATCGTTTTTTAATTCGCTGCCAACTAAGGCAATTGACCACTACAATTCTGTTTCACATCAATTGTATCTCCATTCTACCATCCAAGCTAAGTTTATTGTAAAAACATCATAATGATTTAAAATATTCTTTGGGCACCCAAAGGCAAGCTATAATGCAATGGAAATTCAAAGAATAAGCATACAGCTCTAATAATAATGACCCAAAGAGATGAATCTGTATCCCTGCAGGAAGGAAAGAGATTAGCAAGAAAATAAGCAGTTCTCCACACCAAGAAAGCAGGGCTGTCCTGTTCTGGTGTAACGCAACAAAGAGGTTTCTAATATTTCCATAATGACAGATTTGTTTACAACAAGGATCTCAAATAAGGGAACACAAAGATGACTATCACCACTAAACTCCCCTTGTTTTAAGCTAGGCGCAAGCACACAGGGAACGCTGGTAAGCAAACCCTGAAATTTCAGCAAGACAGCCAAAATCCAGTAGCACATTACACAGAAGAGTATGGAGGGAGAGGTGTGAAAGATCTACTCACCGTCCAGAGAAACCTGACTCCATAAAAAAATATACTTAAATAAAATGTAAATCTCCACCTGAAAAAAGAAGCAGAAAATGAAATGTATGAAATAGAAATAGCTTCTGGTTAACATTTGTAACAAAAATTGGAACAAACTGTGACAAAAACAATTCTGACACCTAACATTCACCCACCAATCAGTAATCCTCCACTTGTAAACATTTTGTGCAAGGATAAACCTATTTAAGAGTTTTCAAACCAAACTAGTTTGTATCAACAGCTAAGTCCAGAGTGATCATGCATCTTTCATAACAAATCAATATAACAACAAGAAAAGTCATATTATCCAGAAGGTATCCTAGTAACTGTATTTGTCCCTCTTACCTTGTGGCTTTAAGTAGACAAAACCATACTGGGGGGAAGAATTAATATGAAGAAAGTTACTGGAAAGGAAAGAAACCAGCACAGGAGAAATAAGTCAGGAAAAAATGTTCAGATGCTACTACGCTAACAGGGGTAACCATAAGCATTCAGAAGGAAACAAAGAACAAAAGAATGAATTGAAATGAAAAGAACAGGAATTCAAGAAGTGTCTGTATACCAAAGTACACACACCATTGTTCAAGCCATAAATACTGGGAAAAATACTGGTCTACAACGTAAGTGTGCAGACAGCAGACTTGTCTTTGGTATAATTACTGGAGTTGTGCACACGCATGTATGCACACACACCCCCTGAAGTGTTACTGTCTGCATTATGGACCTGGTGTGCTATGAAAAGCTGCTTATCACAGACAGGAATGATTCCTGTACAGGTGTTCTGGGCTTTGGTGCACACATACAAAGTATTTGAGAAAAATCAATCCTAAAAAGCCCTCCTAATGTCTTGCAATGGCCTATGTGAGTATTTATCTTCCACCAGCCAACCCCAAGACACTAGTTTAAGTTAGCAGCTGACAATTTCAGTTAGAAAAGAGAACATACAGCTGGAGCTTTAAGATGAAGGCACATCTTGGCCTCTGCACAAACATACATGCTCTCACAAAATTTAGTGAGGGTGGTGGGTTTGTCCTGGTTCCTCCGATGACGAAACCAGCGCTGGATCTTTCGAACATCCCAGTCTAGCTGCTTTGACAAGCCTTCTAACCTTTTTCCATCTGGAGACTGAAGGAAAATGAAACAAGTGTCATTTCTCCTACTTCTCAATCTGTGTGCAGTCTGAAAACCCTTCTCTACTATGACAGACACGATACACAGAGAAAAAAAAACACACTACAAAGGCACTACATATGGACTATTACATTTTAAAAGCAAGAACCTGTTGCCACAAATTTTCATTCAAGTTTAACCATCAAAAGCCACTAATGACTTAATTATTCAGAACACTTCTGGTTTAACATTTCCTCATCTATTTCGTCATTTGACAGCACGTTACTACAGAGAATGCAATTGTTCTGTTTCTTAATTTGGGAGGAGGAGCAACTTTTAAAATGTCCTGCCCTACCTGTTAAAACTTGCTCATCAACTCGACCTGTCCAGAATTCAGAGAGATCAAAGTTGAATACATTTAAGGGTTGTTACTCACTGTGGAATTTAGGGAAACTTTAAAGCAAAAATTTGGGTTTAACACATCAGATACGAATATATTCAAAAAGAGCATCATGGAGATGGCATTATTTCCATTATCACTTTTAAATTTATGAATAACATTAAGCTTGACAACAGAAATAACTGCATGATAAAGAATGCATCACTGTTCTCCGACTGGAAACTCTACTGGCAGTTTATTTGTTTGAACAATGACATAAATGGATTTATAAGAGCAAAGTGAACAAAACCTGATAACTACCTCTAAAATGGCCCAGTGGTGAGATAAGCCACGTTAGTTTCAGACCAGTGTCCTTTTAACAAGCTCTGCCAGGGAGCTCTTACAACTGAAAGATGATAAACACATTTTACCACTCGAGTTATATACAAACCCCAAAAGCTATGCAGAATGCTCATTTAATAAAGAGTCACCAGACTGTTGAACTGAAAAGCAGAATAATCTGTCAGCTGATGTTCAGTACTGAAACCACAACTTTCTTGTAATTCCATCGCTGCCAGACCTCTTGCCTCTGTACTAGGCTCAGGTTCAGGCTGCCTGACACTTGTGCAGTGGAAGCAAACCTGCCTCAAAGGAGAACAGGCAGAGCTCCCATTGCAGAACACCATTGACATCTTTCCCCTCATCAGTGGCATCAGTGCCACCCTACATTCCGATCCTCCAGATCTCAACAGCACACAAAGCATACTGGTACAGTTAAATGCAGCTCTGTTTTCATAAGCTAGATAAATTTTGCACAGCATGCATCCCCATGGGTTTCCTGAACATTAATTTCAAGGACATCCCCTACATAAAAGTCCTCCCCACAAACGGCATCAAATTATAGGGGCCTTTCAGTTCACATGTCATTCCAAATACTTCAGAACTTTAATGTTCCCACGAGGCAAGTTTTGCTAAGGTTTTTATAGAATTTCCCTTCCATTCACTGAGCGCTTTATCTGCTGCACTCGAAATGAAGTTCAGAATCACCAAATGAGAACATAAAACCTTCCATTTTACTATCTTTAATGAAAATCTATCACACCATCTGGGTTGATTTAACTGTCAATACTCAATAGAGTACAGACAGCATGCAATTCTGTCGTTCCGAAGGGAAAGAGCGCTGTCAGCTCAAGTGAGAGAAAAGACCTGAAGCTGATAACAACAGAAATACCTACTGTCAACATCCAACAGCCTGCCATTTGGCAGGGCACGCTTCCATTGACTGAATGGCTTTGCTTGTGGAAGGGACTTCCACTGCGACAGCTGCTGAGCAATCGCAGAGGAGGCAAAAGGAAGATGGAGACACTCACACGGCTGGCCACCAGATCTCCAGGGAGCAGCTCTTTTCCAACAGAAAGTGAAAGATGCTAGGGAATTCCTTGTTAAACTAACAGTTGCCACCCGTTCCCTTAGTTACAATTAGGACAAAGGGAACTAAAGGAAGAAGCCTCTTCTTAAAAGGCAACAACTTTGATTCAAAAAAGATTCCTCTGTGTGCAAAAGCTCCGGTCAGCCATAAAGAGAATTTACGTTCCTACGAGAAGTTCTCAAAGTAAAATAAAGAGCACGCTCGTTCATGCGCAGTGTGAAATGCACTCTTCACATTAGAGAAGTGGAAGACAAAAAATACCAACATTCATTCCTATAGGCCTCCATTTCCAGCAGAATTCGCAGCGTGACTCACCTTAGTGATGGATGTAAACACTTTCTCTAAAATTGCATTAGGCTGAGCTCTGTGAGGTCCACTGTCTTGAATGCCAAGGTTTATGGCACAGGGCTTGGCAATAAATCTGAAAGAGTTCCAAACAAAGAGCCACATTAGAACAAGGCGTTAGTTCCCCTCCTCTGCCTAAGTCACAACAACCCCAACTCGTCACAAATTGCAAAACCTATTCAAAAACCTTTTGAAGATCTTCATTCATGTTGCTCAAAGGAACTTCACAGGTAAAGAAACATTTTTTATTAGTCCACCTGGGAATTGTAGACAGCACATACTGTACGCACACCTAAAATGAAAAGTTAAATCTTAAGGCTCTTGGCTTGCAGGATCAGGATGCAGGATATATTAGCTCAGAAATAAATAATAGACACTGCTGGGGGGAGATCCCTGCAAACTACTAGAGCCCCCAAAGCACCACAAACAAAATGCCTTATTTCCAAAATGCTTCTTGGTGTCGCATAGCTCAGAAAAAAAGGGAAGTTCGAGTGACACAGTTCCTAAAAGACATAGCCGCAGTTCTATTTTTCCCCAAGAGGACAAAAAAAAAAAAAAAAGTGGTTTGTTTCCTTAGGGAGAATGGGGAAGATGTACCAAGTCTCTCAGCCTGAGAGCCAAGATCTTAACATCTCAGTCCTGTATGCACCGTGTTTTCCCGAAGCTGATCTAGCACTTTGTGAATTTGATAGCACAGACACTCCAAAAACAAGATGCAACTGAAGTGAAAATACATGCCTTCAAAAATAAGTAGGTTTTGCTGTACCTTTGTGTCAAGTTGGCCAAGGGATGCTATGGAAAACGCATGTGTTACCTGAAAATGTGAACTGTATTCCCTCCTGTTGGTGGGGCAAGAGCTTTCAAGGAACAGCAAATTCAAGAAAACATCAATTACTTTGAGAGCACGTCAAAAAACCTGTTTCTCAAAAACAATTTTGAAAAGGACTCAACATTTGCATCATTAAATCGACTTTGCTTCAAAACAGAGGTTGATTCAGAGACAACTTTATTACACATATGTATTCCATTTAGAAGGCTTGGAGTGCCATTAAGCAGAAAGCGCTGCTTTTTCCAGCCATTAAATCTGTTGCCATTTCTCCCTGTGCTTAAAAGAAGAGATTAAAATTCAGCAGGATCATTACTCTAAGTGTTCCAACCGCAATCTTTCTTGGGAGTGCATTGTTAATATTCCAGTAACAAATAGCTGTGACTGGATCTAAGAACAGACACAGGTTCTAGGGCTTTCCCCTTGAGAAATTGTGGATCAGCTCATGAGTAATCCTAAAGGCACTCCTCTGCTTTCAGAAAACACTAAACAAGTACCAGGCACCACAGCACCAGGTTTCACTGTCCTGCCCTGTTTCTTCATACGTCCTGTTCGTTTCAACAGTTGCAGCTAAAAGAAAAAAAAAAAAAAAACACACAAAAAGAAAAAAGGAAAGGGTGATTTCCTTTCAGCTTGGCTCTTCCCTGCTCTAAAGGCTCACTGCTTCCTCTCCAATCCAGCCCACCAGCCAGCAATCATCTTAGGATGTTATAAAACAGTTGGCTGGACCTTCATAAAAGCGCCCATCTCCATACTTTGCTTTCCTGCAGGATACACCATGACAACAGCAAAGGAGCACACGTGTGCAGACACAGCATGCCAGATCAATACCTTTATTTCATTTGCTGGAACACGGCGTTTGCAGCTCCATAAAGACAAAAAAAATAAAATCAATCTGGCCTGAGGATACTCAGGCTGGGAAAAGTTCCTCGTATGTGAGAGAAAACCTGGAAATCTGCACATTCAATACATTTATTATTCAGGAGACTCTGCTTAAGAGCCAAGAGGAGAATGAATGGTTAAGAAAGCTCACATGATGCACAGAATGTGGCTTTATCTTAGAATTCAAATCCTGAAGCATCAAAGAAAGAACATCTCCTTAGATATAGAAATGAGTGGAAATAATTCACTTTAGGACCTAACACTTACCAAAAAGAAAAAACAATCAAACAAACAAAAAAAAACTCTGCCAAAAAGTATTCCTGAGTTATAAGCCTCCTTCACTAGAAGGCTTTGGGAAAAAATAGATGTTTCCAGAAATCAGGAAAAAAAAATCATCAAAAGTACACTACAGGCTACAGATACTGCACAGGACTCGAGGAACTCAGTGAAGCCTGCAGGTGAGCACAGAGCAGAACAAAACCCCCACCAACACTTCTGGGTGCACAGAAGGAAGCAGACATCAAGGCAAGCACACAGGACACACCACACTAAGGGAGGGAGTTCCAACAAGGTGATGTGCCTTTAGGGCTGAGCTAAGGTGACTGTGGTGTTTTACATTTTTGGCCCCAAAACAGGTTTTCAGATGTGCAATTTTTGCAGTGTATCTCATAGGGAAAAAAATAAAACACAACTGCACAGCAATAGCAGTTAAGCACCAAAAAACACTGCCCAAATTGTAGAATTCCCATTCTTTCCAGAATTCCCATTTTTGGGGATATTCAAAACTGAAGAGCACCACGAGCAGCCTGACCTAGAACACTGTCGTGCTTTGAGGAAAGGACTGAGAAGGTGACCAAGAAGTCCCTTCCAATCTAAATTACTTTATGATACCATAGAAAATACTGCAGCAACTATTCCCAAGGTCAAGATCCTGCCACACCCTCGCCGCAAGGAGTTACCATCATTTCACTACTTTTATTAGGGTTTTCGGAACACGTACCTGTGCATTGATGTAAGCCGTGCCTACCAACCTATCCATTTCACCCTGCTTTTTAAGACGAACTGATTTTGAAACCAACACCAGTTTTCTAGCACGCAGACTCACGCATAACCAAGCACTTCTCAGGCATGTCGTATTTGACAAATCCAGCCTCAGAATCCTCCTTTGTGGAACAGTTTGGTTTGTCTGGTAAATCCCTACTACAGTTCTGAAAAGGAAGAACAATCCCCTAAATAATAAGATTTATAAAGCAGGCACATCCTGCAGCTAATGCACTCAAGAGTTCATCTCTTTATAGTCTCTCAGTTTCGCTGTGTTAAGATTAAACCTCACTTAAACTGTACCAAATTTTCCAGACAGCACTGACAAAACAACAGCTAAAACCACTTTATTTTTTCCCCTACCAGAACGAGCACAAGCAGCATATCCTTCCTCTGACAGAGAGTAACAATACCTATAAGTGAAAATGAACTCTGGTGTAACCACTAACACCTCGTATGAACATCAGGCTTTGTGTTTTCCCAGATACCTGTGAACTATTTTGTGCCTGCAGTGGGACAAGATGCATAGGAAGAAGTCACAGCTATCATAACAAAACAAAAAAAATAAGCCACACAAATCTGTATGCAGAAGTTTTTCTTTATCTTGCCTGCCCAAAAATCCACCTTCAGCCAAGTCAGGACCTTACCTCACCCTGCAAGTCTTGGCTCATCCCTACAGTCAGGTTTTGAGCACACACCATTCCCATGTAGAGCCAGCCCAATGAGTATTTTGCCATCATCGTGATGCAAAGGGTAATTTACAGCAGCATTTGCCAACAGAGAAACATGTGCCAGTGTAACAAGTGTCAGTGTAACAAAAGCACTTCCTCACACTGAAGAAGTATGGCAAACAGACAAAAGAGAAATGAAGAGAGGAGCTAAAATTAAAGAGATACAGACATTTATAATTCAAGTTCTGAGTCATCAAGTCCGATTGCCAATTGTGTGTCAAGGAAGCCATTTGACTTAATCATCCCCAAGGCCAGAATTGGGGTATCTGCACAAGGGGATTTTATTAGACAGAACTGAACTTCTGACATCTTCAAGGTGGCAGGAGAAAGAATAAAGCACTTCCTGAAAAATGTGGTCTTTGTAAATAAACATGCTAGAAACAACCTTGCATTTTGCTTCATGATCTGCTTTCACCGGGATACCACCACGGAGACAGCGCTGACACTGTTAAAGGAAAGGAACAAACCCTCTCAGGAAGCAGCCTGTGGTCTCCAGGCTCTATTGTGCAGGAGGAGTACTTAATTATCCATTTGAGTCCTTCCTAAACCAACACTGCAAAAGAAATTTCACATACCAGGGCACAATGCAGACATTATCTGGATAAAATAATTGTTAGCAGGAAGATTTTGGTATTAGGTACAATGGGATGCGCTGTAGCTCTCTGAATCTCTCTTAACCCAGAGAAAAGAAACATTTGCACTTCTTCCCCAAGGTAAGACACCTGGACTGAGCTGGGAAGCGAGGAAACCTTCCTGCAATGCTCCTTCCAGGGGTAGCATCCTGTCTCCCAACTTCCTTGCCTTGTCTGCTGGCAACTGCATACATCTGGCCAAGACGAGCAGCAGGGTGCAAAGCTAAGATGAGGTTTTGGCACTGCCACGTATCTGGGTGTTCCTGGGCCCTCTGCACTGGTTTGAGCTCAGAGCAGCTTTATGAAGTATGTTAGAAAAAGAAGTTATAAAAAGTTGCTCAAACTTCTCTCCTACTCTGTTTACCCGCCTTATGTTCTTCTCTACAGCTCTCCTGTCTTTTTACTTAGTCCCAGTTCCCTCCTGTTGCTTAATTTCTGAAAGCTGAGGAAAAAAAAAAAGTACACTTCTTACAGAAAACTTGCAAAATAACACCAACTCAATTCCTAATTGCTTTAATCCTACCGCCCTTTCCACACTTAGAAATACTTCCCCTCTTTTCTTGCAGAAAGTTAAGACGGAACCAACCTTTGAAGAACTATTTGAACAGGTACCCGAGGTGTTTTAGCTGGCTTCACCTAACGGTTCTGTTAAGCAAGCTGCTTTCCTAATTAGCCTGTCACCCACAGAGCCTGCCCTGGGTACGGCTATAGGAGATATCCATCATGCAAAGGATAAACTCCTGCCTCAGGGGAGAGTTAATACACGCTTATGGATATTCAAGCGAATGGGAAGCGCGGCGTTACACCTGCTCCCGGGCAGCTACGCTGATCCGCACGCGCTTCCGTCCCGCGGGGGGGACCCACAACTTGTTTAATGATACACCAGGCCATGTGAACGAGCCCAATTTCCTCATCCAGGAACTGGGACGGAAAGTACGCAGCGGGCAGAGCCCAGGAACGCCAACAAGCCAAGCTGGGCAGGAGCAGAAAGAAATCAACCCAGCTCCTGGGGCTCTCCTCCTCGCCTCACCGCCGCCTCCAGCACCTGAGGAGCCTCTGGGGGCCCAAAATCATGAGATAAGGGAACCGTGGGGGGGTCCTGCGAGCCCTGACAGCCCCACGGGTGGGTTTTGCCGTTCCTTTTCCACACAAAAAGATAAATAAAGAAAGCAGGGGGGTGCCTGGAGGCCTCACAGCTGCCTGAGGGGCGAGGGGGGGGCCCGAGCCCGGTTATCCCGGGGGGGGCTGAGCCCGGCTGCCCCCGGGGCCTCAAGGCCTGTTGCTAACGGGTCCCGAGGCAGAAGCGGGAGGCCTGAGGGGAGGAACAGGAGGGTGTGAGGGGGGAACCGGGGCTCACCTCTCGAACAGCAACCGCACGGCGAAGATACCGAGCGCCAACGGGAAGGCGGACAGGACGTGGCCGGCTCGCGGGTACTGCAGCCCGCTGCCCGGTGGACCCGCTTCCCCGGCCAGGTCCGCCCACGTCACGTTGTGGGGCAGCCAAAACCGCTCGTTCCAGAACCAGGCCCGCAGCGCCGCCGCCGCGGCCGCCGCCATTTTCCGCCGCCGCCGCCTCCCCCCGCCCCCCTCCGCCGCCGCCGCCGCCGCCGCCGCCGCCGCCACAGCCACAGCCGCGGCCGCCAGGGGGCGGGGCCTGTCCGCCTCCTACGCCCCGCCCCCTCCCTCGAACATGGCGCGTGCGCGGTGCCGCCCAGCCCCGCCCCCGCCGCGGACCGTTAGGCGCCCGCTGAGGAGAATGGGCGGGAACGGCCCCACCCCCCCCCCCCAGCGGCCCGAGGTGGGGCGAAGGGGAAAAAAAAAACCTCGGGAAAAGTCCCGAGGTGAGGCTGAGGCAAAAGGTTCCTCTCCGAGGGGCTCGGGCTCTGCCTCGGGGAGGGGTTGGGTGAGGCAGGAGACGGGGTAGCCGCTGGGGGATCAAATGGCGGTGGATAAATCCCCCCCGTCCCTGATAACCCACCCTTCCATAAAACCCACTCCATCAACACCCCCCCCCGATAAATCCCCTCTCCATGAATCCCCGACAAAAAAAAAGCCGACAAAAAGCCCCCTTAACTCGACAAAAGCCCCCTTCAATCAACCCCCAAATAACCCCCCTCGATAAGACCCCCAAATAACCCCCCCCCACACACACCTCAATAAACCCCTTAGGGCAAAATTCCTCTCACAGGCTCAAAAACCGCTTCACTCACCTCAAAATCAAGCTCCAAGGCAGTATTGTGCGATTTCTCACACGAACAGCTCATGGTAAGGCACACTTTTACTAATAACAGCCATGTGGTTTAAAATTTAAGCACAAAATGGGTGTGATTTCTCACATGAAGAGTTCATGGTAAGGTACCATGGACTAGTTTTAGTAATAACACCCACGCTCTTAAACATTTAAGCACAAAACACAGAGTGGGGGGTATGCTTGTTACCAAAGTTTAAGATAGTTGTAATAGTTTTCAGAACTTTCAGAAAATTTCTCATAGTTTTCAGCTTGACAGCCTTGGGGCAGGGGTTACCAAGTAATGCAACCCAGCCTCTAGGTCAGCTTTTTAATTAGGTTCTCAAATTCTCCATGAAGGCGGACAGCACCAGCTTCCTTCCCCATTGCAGCAAATGATCCATCTTTCCTATAATAGCCCTTTTGGCATCCGTCCAGTCGAAAGCAAATTAAATGGCCCATTAAGCACTCAAATGCTATGATAATTAATAGATTCAAGGACAGGCTAGTTCATAATATGTTCACTTTTTTCCAGTGGAACAACTTTATTTAAACGTACCAGTAGCACTAATTTCTCCACGAACATGTTTAGCCTGGCTGAGCGAGCAGTAAGCATCCTTATAGCTCAAGGACTCACAGATGCCTCAGATTTAATGAGAATTAGGGATGTATAACAGTAAAGTCTCTGGGAACTGCAGCCAGTGTACCTTTAGTATCACGTAACTGGGGCTGCGTTGTAAAATTCAATTGTGTCTCCTAAGAAACAAGTAGTAGGCATATCCAATAAATCTGAGCCCATGACAAATAGCTTCCAGGCAGAAAGATCTCCACTGGCTTAGTAATTTGAGGAGGCAATCTGATACCAAGTGGATTTCGTTAGAAAAAGATAAGGATTTAGAGGTTAAAGAAAGCCATATGTACTTTTACAGCTGCTTTCCTAGTTCTGCAATACCCCTCTATCTGCTCAAATCAAGGCTCAGCTCTCCCTTAAGAAGTACCAGCCAGCACGTTGTACACCTCGCAATGTGTAGCTACTAACACCTACCTAGATAGCAGTTGTTTTTTCCCCTCTCTGCCTCATTCCCCATGCCATAAGCCACCACACTCTGTCTTATGTTACTGCAGGTCACTTACTGCATTTTTTCCAGATTTTAGCCCCACCTATCCCAACCATAACCACCCCAGGCTTGAGATAAGACAACTGAAATACAAATAAGCTTCTAGGAAGGAAAAAACAAAACCAATTCTCAATTATCTTCAGCTCCCATGCCTGAGGAACAGATGAAACCAGAAATGGAAATGTAAAATACCTGCATGCCCTAATTTCTTTTGCCCATCGTGTTTTAATCTCTCTTCCAGTCTTGCATCTGAGAGAGCAGTCTGCCCAGCTGACATTCCGCAAAAAAGTGGACCCACAGTGTCACCTAGTGGCACCAGAAAAATCACCGTCTGGTCTCCAGCTTCAAGTAAGAACACTAGTATTTTACCTCTCATTCCCCCAGGTCCTTTTAAAATACTGCTTCTTTGCAAAACGAGCATGAATCCAGTCTTCAGACCTAGTTTTTTATGTAAATGACCAAACTTTATTGAAGTTAGCAGGACTGTTAAGAAAGCAGAATATTTTACACCTCAAATAGAGTTAGAGCTAATTCTCATGAGTACAGTACAAATAAAAGCGAATATAAAAGGACATCCTCCTTCCACCAGATTCCATTATTTGTAAAATAAATGCAGTCAAGTTTAAAAACATACTAAGCTTCAATGCTAGCAATCAGAAAGTTTCACTGTTCATATGGTTTTATTCCAAAGATTTCATAATGCAGCAGAATTTCACAGCCACAATGAAAAGATTTATGGCAGTTTGATACAAGTAAATTTTCAAAATTGTCAAAAGGCCTTAAAAACATTATGCAGTTTTAAATGAATTATGATGAACTCTAAGGAGAAAAAAAATGTCAAAAAAACCACACTTCAGATGCATATGAAATGCAAAAATAATGCCCTGCAGGCTCCTGCAAAAATGTTGACTTGCCCTCAGAGAGTCAGCACAGCTTCTGGATCAGCACTAAAATACATTGGTTCCAGCAGTGGGCACACCATTCCAGTTGCACAGAGAAAAATGGAGTAGTAGGTCTTGATCATTGGCAGTTTTGAGAAAGAAAGTCATGTTGCACTCAGTTTAAAATGCTTTAGCTGATTGATTCCAAGCAAAACCAAATGCTTTCATTATCATAAAAAACCAGCTGTGCCCTTTACATGTATTAAAGTGCATTTAGTTACCAGTTTTAAAGCAGGTCACAAAGTCCCTTTGAAATTGGTCCCTAAGCACTGCAGTCGCATTTGTAGTGGTACAAGTAGTGTATTACACAAAGCCTGCTCCACACCACCGAGAGAGCAGGGGCATTCTCTAAGTCGTTAGCGAAACAGGTACCAGAGTTCAAAAAGGATAAGACAACAGGAGTACAGAACAGCTCTGTTCCCACCCTGTGGACAGCCACTACCTGTTGATGCCATCCCACAGCCACAGATTCTCATTTCCATGCCCCTAAGTGTCCCCTTTGCAGGCTCCCACAGTACTTTTCTGGTTGAGATCATTTGTACATCTGATTCCCTTAATGTCGATGTGCAGTATAGCATCACTTGCATGGAGGGCAGCTGTTTGTTAAAGCTAAAAACACCAATTTAAAAAGGCCCAGCACCTTGCAGCGAGTTTTAGAGTAAAAGGCCAATTTATTCTTCATCATCATCATCTTCATAGTAACGGTTCCTTTTGATCTGTTCTTCCACAGAGAGGTCTTCCATATCTTCACCCTCCCAGAAACCAACGTCTTGGGATTTGCGATTCTGGTTTGGAGATGATTCCTTAGCAGTCAAGACACTGGAAAAGCTGGAATGTTTAGGAGAATCGGGTTCGAGGAATTCTTCATTTGGGGTTTGCTTCTCTTCCATACCGTGTTCTTCCTCATCTGTCTCTTCATTCGCCTGGCCATTTTCCACAAAGTTATGCTCTGCTGTTTTGGTAACAGGCAATTCCCGCTCTTCCTCTGTATTTTTCTCTTCAGCATTCTGGATGTTTCTATTCTCCACCTTCTTTTCCTTTTGCTTTTTGTCCACCACCTCTCTCTCTAGTTCCTCACCTCTTTTCAACGTGTCTCTCTCTGCCTTAGGAGAAGCTGCATTGTCTGTTTTATGGCCTTTAACAGATACTGTTCTAAACGAGGCTGCTACTGTAAAGGGACGACTTCTCTCCTTCAGTGAGGAAGATCTTCTCAACTTCTTGAGATCCAGATCCACATCCTCCAGCACATCTGGCTTGGAAGTCTCTTCTTCTGGGGGCCATTTGGGTTTGAATACTTTGATGCCCTCCTCCAGGGCACTTCCTTGAACACTTTGGTCAGATGGAGGTGGCCAGGCAATCCTGAGTTTTTTTGTTTCTGCTGGTCTCTCTTCTCTTTCAGGCAAAGCTGAGGCTTTGGCTTCCATACTTGCTGCCAGAACTCCTACTTTTGCAATCGGGGCATCCTCTACTCCTGGGTTTTGAGAACTGTCTGTTGCATTTATGCCATGGAGAGTTTTCTCCGGGGATTCTTCACATTCAGTTTTGCTTGCCCATAATTCCTTGTGCTGTTTGTGTCCAAAGCCTTCATCATAATTGCCTTTGGCTTTGAAGAGCTGATTGAAGTGAGGCTTGCAGTAAATATTCCCACGCAGAGACGCATACGTCCCAAGACTGTTCAGAAAGACACAAAGTCAAATGTTAGCGTTCAGCCACTGCGGTAGGTGTAGATTTCAGTTATGCTGCTGAACAGATCCAATTTCTTCCAATGTGTTCAGGAAAGACAATCTTACAGCTTTCAGAGGTTGGTACAACCCTTTTTTCAAGTATCAGGAGCTTGACATTATACCTTTCCCCCAACAAGTGACATTATGAGTAAAAAAAATAGACTGCATCAAGTGCAGAGGCCCCTGGCAGAACCAGGACTGTGTTACCACTCATAAGCTCCCATTCAATTCACTGTAGTTGCCTTCACCTCAGCTAAGCCTGAACAACAATTTACTCAGCTTCTGAGAAGAGGAAAGCCCCGCTTCCTAGAAGGCAGCCAAGCAGAGCAGTGTGTTTACCTGAGTTTACTGTTGCAATAGGAACAGCGGAAACAGCTGATGTGGAACACCTGCTGGTTGGCAAAGAGCCTTTCCATGGGGTACACGGTCTTCTGACACCCAACGCAGGTTTCCTTCGCTGGCAATTGGAACTTCTACGGGAAGAAGAGAAAGCTCGTTAGCTGGAAAATTAATCAACTGCTAGACTTGGCTCGGGTTCATGCGCAGCTTCCAGCGGGCTCAGAAAAACTGCTGCATTTCTGCAGCTCAGTGCTAATTCTGGTAGAGTGGGTTCTGGGGGGCAA